TGGGTTAAATATCTCTTAACCTGCGTCTACTCTCCATTAAGGCAGTCCGCTACATTTAGCTTTTGAGTTGTGACTTGGGGGTGATCAAGTCCGCTTCTAGCACTCTTTCTTATGACTTTTCTTTGATGGACTAGGCTGCTCTGTCTTCTGTAAAAGCTTCTAGCACTTTATTCAAAATAATTCACTGGTACTAACATCCGGTGGAACTCAATTTTCCTTTCCCTTCATTCCCTCTTAATGACCGTTCTTTTTCTTCCCTCATGAATCAACAAATAGATTCTGTTGGATCTAGTGCCGGTGGGATGGTTATGGGAATGAGGTATATTGTGCTTCCACTGATCATTGCCTCGCTTCTACTGACAATTCTCAAAAGTGAGAGAATTTTAGGGAGTCAACCTCTTGTGCGGAGCAAGGGTATTCAAGGCGCAGTTGTAGTTGGAGGAGAGTTCTTTATTTCATCCGAGGACCTAAACAAAGCTCTCAGACGCTGGGCCGCAGAGTTACCTCGGGAGATCTATGTTGATTTACTCAACGAGGCGGTTGCTCAAGTTAGTGGAATCATCGAACAACATGAAAACGCACGCGACAAGGTTCTCATCGATTTGCATGAGGTTGGCTGAGAGACACTTGGGCAAGAATTTCCCCGGACGAAAAGAGCACCAGAATACCGACATCTTTGGATAAAAGTTACAGACGCCCTTAAAAACGCCAAAAAAAAAAAAAAAAAAAAAAAAAAATTGAGAAAGCGGTGCGAAACGCACGACAGGCTGTGATAAATGCTGGGGGTGAGAGTGGTATCCAGTTCCTTGACTTTAATGTTGCACAGGGGTGGACGAAAGCTGCGGGTAGGCTTGCCCGTGCCTGCCCAGATTACACGCGCGCCGCAAGCTATATCGTGCATGCGGTGGTAAATCGGCTCAGGAATGTTCGTTCTGGAAGATCATTGTATCTAGAGCCTGGGCTGAAAGACCTTCAAGACGCGATTTCCTTAACACGCAACGCTTCTCCACCACAGCCAATCGCAAGTGATGAACTCTGTTCAATGGGGTTGCGACTTAACGCAATTGGACTTGGGTGAGCCCCTCGGCTCGGTCTCCCTCGAAATCACAGATGGAGATATTGACGTTGAAAATGTGAGTTTTGAATGGGCTCCAAATGCTGATATCCCGAGGCTTCCCCAGGCAGTTGTGGAAGAATTTAGTGACCACGATTCTTCTTCAATCTCTGGGGACATTCCCACCAACGTGGCTGCCGAAGGAGGGTTTCATCCCGTACTGGGTCGCGATTCAGCGAATTCGCCGAGACCAACCAATGATAGGGCAAGCCAAGAAGTGCTAACAGCATGCACTTCAAGTCACGGTACAGGCGGTGCTTCTACCAATATGAGTGACTCACAACCCAGAAAGAGACAGCATATAGATGGTCATTCGGTTCTAGGAAGTACGCAAGGTTTGATTGGCGATATTGAATCCAGGATTCAAAAACAGGCTGTAGCCGATGCTACCCCTGGCTCTGCCGCGTGTGATACTCCTGCAAGTCGTTCGAAGTTACTCCCAAACGCAAAGGCACAAAGAAATAAGCAAAGTACTCATGAAAAGGCAATTCATCCCAATAAACCGGAGGTTGAAGCTGGGTCGGGAGTTCAAAATCGGAATGTTGCAGGCACTACTCTTAGTTCGTCCACGAGTGGTACTCTTGCGAGCGGTCTTAAATTACGCTTTAAGTTCCACCCAGAAGGAAGGGAGCGACCAAAACTCCAAAATACTCCCAAGAAAGCAGTTCTCCAGAAAAACCCAGAGGTTGAAATTGGATCCAAGATCCACGATCAGAATGTTGGCCAAGACCCAGACAGCTCACCCAACAACAACCACGCTACAACAACTATAGTTCTCGAAGACATCCTTCGTCGTCTTGGGCATGAACCCCTTCAGAAGCTCCAGGCATTGCAAGCCAACGGCCATCTTGTGCTGGACAACGTGTTTGATTGGTGTGAAGCAGTGGATCAGGACCAACCGCTGCTTCAGCTAGCGGAATTGGAGGCGACGATATTCTTGCACCACTGTGGCGGCGACAAAGAGATGTTTCAGAGCTTGAAATATGGACTATTGCAGCAGTTGATTGAGACAGATCCGGTACTATGGATATTGTACGTTTGCCTGCAGAACGGCAAGCAAGAACTTGTTGCGTTTCCACAACCAATGTCCATCTAGTCCATCCATGATGAAAATAGTACAACTCATTCTTGCCCTGCTAGCGTGAAAAATCGATGCATTATAAGTCAGGATTCACACACGCCAAGTATTGTTCTGTTTTATGCAGGAGAAAAAAGTTGCTGGTCAAAGTGTCATTTTTCAGCCAGCATTGCTACCCTTAACTGAGATATCTGGAACTACTTGTGTTGGTAGATTAACAACTTTAAATCAACTTCAGTCTCTACGAGCCAGTCATGAGCCCGTGAAGTTGAATTTAATAGAAGACAACGCAATGCATGTTGCACCATTCAAGATCGCGACATCACTGCGAGGCCTTAGTCCTGGAGCTGACGCAGTTCTTCTCCAAAGGCCATATACAGATCCTACTGTTGTGGCTGAAGTCAACCTTCTGCTTGGCAATGATCGAGATTTGGCATGGGAATTCATTCTACAGTGGCGAGCGTTGGCAATTGAGCACATAAAACTTCATTTCAACCTGTGGCGATGGACAGAAAAGTCATTTTACGGAAGTCAGGCATACAATCCGGAAAAAGAGGCCATTGAAATCAAGGGATAGCAAGGCGTTGGCAGTTGATCGGAGGTTTGGAGGTTTGGAGGTTTGGAGGTTTGGAGGTTTGGAGGTTTGGAGGTTTGGGGGTTTATGGGGTGGCAGACGTTTGGATGGCGCGATATTGCAGGGACAGGGTGAATATAGGCAGCATGAATTAAATGCATGTAATTGCTGGTGCGAGGACCCTGAACAAGCAAAGCATTCAAGAAGGCTGCTCGCAAAGAGTCTGAATATCCTTTCCTTTGTATATATATATTTAATACATATAAAGTAGAAAATAAATAAATAAATAAAAATAAGATAAAAATAAACTAAAGATTAAAGATAAAATTATAAAATTTAGGATCCGAGCTCGGGGACCAGGGCTGACCCACTTGCTTCTTTCTTGTTCGTCGTCTCTCTTCCTCTGTTCTGCTTTTCGGAACGGCCTCTATGTTTCACCGGCCTCCGTGTAGGCGCGTTCGGACTGGCCGGGTCAGCTTGCTTCCAAATCGCAATGACCTACTCCTACTCCGATGAAGGATTTGATGGAAGAAGGGGTCAGTTGTCATTCTGACTCAATGACTGATTTCTCGCTGGATGAAAGCATGATCATGATTGGCGGCGGTGCTTTTCTTGTTACCTGGTTTTCCTTTTTCCTTTTTTATTTTTTATTTTTTTTTTATTTTTATTTTTTTTATTTTTCCCCTTCTCTTCCTTCTCTGCAAAATGACGAAGAGCTTCATTGCATGGATGTGCGTAAGTCGAGAGAGACAAGCTTTTTGATCTTCCATGACAAACCCCAAACGGGTTAACTTCTGCTTTTCGTCCGCTTTCCTTTATTGCTGATGACAAGAGGCAATATTAATGGCAACAAGGGTAAATTGTTGATCTGCTTTTGTGAAAATTTTGTTTTATCTTGATGCTTTTTTTCTAAAAAAAAAATAATATTTTTTTTCCTCCGTGTCATAGCCTCGGGCTTTATTATCTCCGGCAATCCGTGCACCCCCATGAGACGTATTTTTGGCAAAATTAACTGCAGGGCTATATTTTTCGACGTGAGGGAACCAAAAAAAGAAGAAAAAAGAAAAAAAAAAAAAAATAGATGACTCACAAACCTTTTTTTTTTCATCGGTGCCTGGAAAGCGAGAAAAAGCTAGGTTTGGTTTTGAATAGCTTCCCTTGTCGGCGGAAGGAGCAGAAAGCCTGCCGATGTTGGGGGAAAAAATACGAATGGTCTGTTGACTGACTGACGAGTTGGACAAAACCCGATGTGACGCGGCGGAGCGTCCGCTTTTTTGATCCCCCATGCATCAGATACTTTGAAATTTCGTTGCAGTCGGTGCATCGGTATCCCCATGGAGTGGACAGGGTTAGGGGGAATAACTTTTAGTAGATTCCGAGAAAGTTTCGAAAATACCGGGTCGCTGACCAGGGGAGTCCCGAGGTCGTGAAACCATCTCTCTCTCTCTCACATTGCCATGTCGGGAAGACGGGTTCAGTGAGACTCCGTGTAGCGAAATCACCTCTGCGTATTCCGTACTCCGTTCCATCATCATCATCATCATCATCATCATCATCATCATCATCATCATCGAGTTAATCTGACTGTTGACAACCTTGGAAGAAGCTCTTTCTGGAGTTGATTATTGTGGTGGATGAAATTGAATGAAACAACGATGCCCAACCATGTCAAGTCAACAAAGATAAAACGCAGTACTCCATAGTATGCACCCCGAAGAACGACGAGACAAGCATTAGGAGATTAACACACTAGCCTGTAGTTTAGCGAGCCAGCGAAGCTCCCGATGCGGCAATGTCATCGTATTCGAGACGAACGACACCGAGGCCGACGGTGGTGGAGTACATTCAAGCGACAAGACGATCAATGCGATCAAGTGAAAGCTACGGAGCCAAACCTGGCTGGGGACACAACCAGCGATCAACGCAGAATATCGCGTACTGACATCATAGGATGAGGTATTCCTTACGTGTAGCAGGAAACGGCGTAAGAAGCCATGAATTTGAAAATATAATAAAATAATAACCACTAGTTATTAGTTCTAGAAGAAATATAAACATGGAGTCCAAACACAAGCCACAAACGCAGTTCGGTCGCACAGATGCACTGCACAGATGCACTGCACAGATGGACTGGACAGATGCACACAGGATGCATATCTCTGCACATCCCATCTGATATGTTCCGTCTACGGTCTTGTTTGTTGACTCCGGATGGGCACACAGCCGCGCATGACATAAGCGGTAACCGCAACGAGGCTAGCGTGGCAACCATTCTGGGTGGCTTCTGCGCCGCAATGCACGGCCTGGAACAAGCTTGGAACATTTTGATTACATAGTAATCTGTACGGAGTACGGAGTATGCAGGACGGAGGAAGTTAAGTTAGGCTCCGGGAGCCGTGCGAAGTAATATTGCACAAATACATGCCACGTATGGCGCGATACGTCAGAAGCGGCCGCGGCTGCCATGACTGCCATGACTGCCATGAGTGCCACGACCCTTGGCCATGTGGAGCGCGTAATTTACAGCGTCGAGACGGTGGCTGCCGCTAGTGCCAACCCACCCGAGCAACGTTATGCAAGATATGCACACAACGCCAACAACCTCGGAAGTCTTGTGCTTTGGCCCTCTTTGGTACCAGGTACCCTCGCACGCCGGCTATTCAACAACGAGCCACAGGTCACAGGTACCAGAGGAGCGCGGTGGGTATTAGCCGAGGTGCCGTTTGCGCAGCCAATAGGGGTTCCCTTGGCGCAGGCTCGGCATCGGTAGACTGGAAGCCCGTCCCGTGGGTCCTCCCCCTTGGGCTTGGGGACAGACGATGCCCAGTCCAACAATATGACAATGAATGGGGATGAGAGGGGTGATGATGGGGGTGATGGGGGTGAGGATGATGAGGATGATGAATGGAGGTTATCAGTATCCTGGTCATGTGTGCCAAACTCTGACAGGCGCAAAGCCAGAACGGGGCGCGGGCTCCAGGAATGCCAGGAATGAATGCTAGGATACGAGAACTAGTATGGCGACGGGGTCCCAGCAGGCAGCCGGAATAATGATTGGAGCTGCCCGAACCTTCGAGGGCCTCAGGGGACGGTGGAGAAAGCTTGGTTCCGACGATATTGGCTTTGCGGAGCCCAGGACTCCAGGAGACTCCAGGAGACTTCCAGGGAACTGAGGGCGGCAGGATCTGGGCCAAATGCTGTTCCAAATGTTTTCTATTTCTTTTTTCCTTTTTTTGTTGGAGAGCACAGTCAGCGGTCGTATTAAGAGCATCATCCGCATCGACAAATATTCTTTTTCTTTCTTTCTTTCTTTTTCTCTTTTTCTTCTTTTCAGTTTGTATGCAATTCATTGAAACATGCTTTCCATGCGTTGCATGCCCTGTTGGTCCTCATTTTATAAATCTCTCCCCACCTCCCACCCCCACCAGGACGAGGAACAGCCACCATAAGCTTGACTTGCCTGTGTCTGGTGTCATACACAGTCGTCGTGGGATAGATAATCCCCTTGCGTCTGGATAATCCGAAATTTATTCATTACAGCTTTCATTTCCATGCGACTTGCTTCTTCTCTTTCTTGTTCTTCTTCTTCTTCTTCTTCGTGCTGTTTCGTTTCGTGGGCGCTGTCCTCCTTCCCGCTGCGATCCCCATATGGCTTCTTGGCCCAGGACTCATCTCCGGACATTATAGACATACCACCAAAGAGCCTCCTGGGACAAACCCGGAGTTTCCTGTCGTTCGTTCCCTCTGTGGGTTCAGCTGTTGGCTAGAATCGACTTTTTTTTTTTTTTTTCGTTCTTCCAGCTTGCCCTCTTCCTCCACTTGTGGTTGAAACACTGGCAGCTAAACCCTCTCCTCCGATCTTGCCTGGAATTGCATTTATCAAACCTTCTCCTGTCTCCCTGCCCATCTGTCCGTCTGCCAGTCCGTGCAGGCGAAGCTGAGCACAACAATGGACGGGGACCCAGAAAAACAGAGCGCTGCCGTGGAGAAGTCTGCGGTCCCTGATACTGGCCTCGAGAGCTCACCCGCAATGACTTCGGGCGAGAAATCTAGAGATGCCAACAACGAGATATCGGGCTCGGGCTCGCGCTCTGGCTCCGGCTCCGGCTCGACCGTGAGCAATAACGATGACTCTACAAATCTCAAAAAGCTTGACTCGACAGTGGGTGTTCCCCCGCCGAAGGAGGCAGATCTCGACGCTGCTCTCGCCCACCTTCCAGAACAGGAACGGGCCATCCTCAAGGAACAGCTCGATATCCCCGATGTCAAGGTTAAATACATCACTCTGTTTCGCTATGCCACGAAGGCTGATCTCCTGGTGCTCTTCGTGGCCGCCTTTGGTGCGATTGCTGGTGGCGCTATACTTCCTCTATTCACGGTACGTTTTTTGGATTTTCATTTTCTAAGTCTTTCTTTGATTTCACTCTATTTTACTCTATTTTTACTTTTATTTGTTTTTCACCTCTTGTCGCTCCTCCCTGCTAGAGTCAGGTTAAAGTAAGGTCTGGGTCTGGTTGTGCTAATTCCACCAAACTCTGTTCGGGGTAGATTATCTTCGGGGCCATGGCTGGCTCGTTCAAATCGATTGTCCTACACACCATCACCATAGACGAGTTCAATTCTCAAGTTTCGAATTTCGCTCTATACTTCGTCTACCTTGGGATCGGCATGTTCGTTCTTATCTATATCGGAACCGTTGGCTTCATCTACGTCGGCGAACAGATCTCCCAGAAGATCAGAGAAAAGTATCTCGCCGCTATCCTGCGTCAGAACGTCGCGTTCTTCGACAAACTGGGTGCTGGCGAGATCACCACCCGCATCACTGCCGATACTAATCTGATCCAGGACGGCATATCGGAGAAAGTTGGCCTGACCATGACTGCCCTTGCGACATTCATCACCGCGTTCATCATTGGCTTCGTCAAGTTCTGGAAATTGACCCTGATTTGCTCATCGACCGTTGTCGCTCTCACCGTCCTGATGGGCTCGGCGTCCCGATTCATTATTGGATTTAGTAAAAAGTCGTTGCAGAGCTACGGTGAGGGTGGAACCGTGGCAGAGGAGGTCCTCAGTTCGATTCGGAACGCTACTGCCTTCGGAACTCAGGAGAAGCTTGCACGGCAATACAACATTCATCTCCTTGAGGCCCGGAAATGGGGAACTAAACTGCAGGTCGTGATCGGAAGCATGGTTGGAGGCATGCTGGCCATCGTGTTCCTGAACTACGGCTTGGGTTTCTGGATGGGTTCGCGTTTCCTGGTCAACGGAGAGGCCAACCTTCAAGACATCGTAACTATCTTGCTGGCCATTATCATTGGTTCCTTCAGCTTGGGTAATGTCACTCCACACGTCCAGGCTTTCACTTCGGCGATCAGTGCAGGTGCAAAGATCTTCAGTACCATTGACCGCGTATCCCCCATCGATCCCACCTCCGACGAAGGCATGAAAATCGAGAATGTCGAAGGCGTCGTCGAATTCCGAAATATCAAACATATCTATCCGTCCCGGCCAGAGGTTGTTGTCATGGAGGATGTCAGTTTGCTGGTTCCCGCTGGTAAGACAACCGCGCTCGTTGGTCCATCTGGCTCCGGTAAAAGTACCGTTGTCGGCTTGATGGAACGATTCTACAATCCCGTTAGTGGCGCTGTTTTCCTGGACGGTCATGATTTGAAAACCCTCAACACGCGTTGGCTTAGACAGCAGATCTCCCTGGTTAGCCAGGAGCCAACGCTTTTTGGTACCACCATCTACATGAACATCAAGCAGGGCCTGATAGGTTCCAATTTCGAGCAGGAATCGGAAGAGAAAATCAGAGAACGCATCGAGAATGCTGCAAGGATGGCCAACGCTCACGATTTTATCTTGGGACTTCCAGAAGGCTATGAGACCAATGTTGGGGAACGAGGTTTCCTGCTCTCCGGTGGCCAGAAACAACGTATCGCGATTGCTCGCGCGGTGGTTAGTGATCCGAAGATTCTTCTGCTGGATGAGGCCACTTCTGCCTTGGATACGAAGTCAGAAGGAGTCGTCCAGGCTGCGTTGGATGCTGCGGCAGTAGGAAGAACCACAATCGTCATAGCTCATCGCCTGTCTACGATCAAAAATGCTCACAATATTGTTGTTATCGTGGGTGGACGAATTGTCGAGCAAGGCACTCATGACGAATTGGTCGACCATGATGGCGCTTATCTCAGGCTCGTCGAGGCACAGCGAATCAATGAAAAACGGGAAGCCATCGGCTTAGAAGAGGATGAGGAGGATGAGGAGGATGAGCTCATGAAATCCAAAGAGTATACGCTTAATCGTCAGGCTTCCGGCCCCTCTCAGAACGTGGCTCCTGGCACGTATCGCGGGACTGGCGCAGATGATGAGGAACTGAAGCTGACCACCACCAATAAATCGATTTCGAGCTTAGCCCTTTCCAAGCGGACTCCAGAAACCCATCAGAAATATGGCCTGTTTACCCTTATCCGATTCATCCTTTCCTTCAACAAACCAGAAGCCCTATTGATGTTCTCCGGATTCCTCGTTTCCATAATCTGTGGTGGCGGGCAGCCCACGATGGCAGTATTTTACGCCAAAGCGATCGCTACACTTTCCCTCCCCGAACAACTCTACGATAAACTGAGAAGCGATGCGAGTTTCTGGTCGCTCATGTTTCTCATGCTTGCATTCGTGACATTACTTTCATACTCTGTTCAGGGAAGTATTTTTGCTGTTTGTTCTGAGCGGCTAATTCACCGCGCACGGCTCGAGGCTTTCCGCGCAATGCTCCGACAGGATATTGTCTTCTTCGATCATGAGGACAATAGCACCGGCGCTCTGACCTCATTCCTGTCCACCGAGACGAAGCATCTTTCTGGAGTCAGCGGAGTAACTCTTGGCACCATTCTCCTCGTCTCGACCACCCTCGCGGCAGCATGCATCGTAGCGTTGGTCATCGGCTGGAAACTTGCTCTCGTCTGCATCACAACCATCCCTATTCTTCTCGGTTGTGGATACTACCGATTTTACATACTGTCTGTTTTCCAGACTCGGTCCCAAAAGGCCTACCAGAAGTCGGCCAGCTACGCATGCGAAGCAACCTCGGCAATTCGAACAGTGGCGTCTTTAACTAGAGAGTCAGATGTAGGGTTCGAGTTACCACAACCAATTAGCTACCCAAGCTAAGGCGAGCGTGATTTCTGTTCTCAAATCATCCTTGCTGTATGCAGCG